GACGATGAAGGTCACCGCCCCGATATACTCCTCTTTATCGCCCGACACTGTTGCTAGCATATGCCCTACTATACCCAAATAGGGTATATCCATGACCCTCTCAGTCCCCACTGATGCCTCTCTCATGCTATAATATTACCCTGCGGTAGGCATACTGCCCAAATACTCTAGTGAAAGATCGCAACAATTGCTACCCCACAGGGTTTACCTTCAAATTCAAAAACTGGGAACTCAATGGCTCTTCTGTTTCTCACAGGAAACAGAAATAGCACAACTCTGGTCATAGAAAGTGACGTCTCCACTATTGGCCGATTGCTCAACACAGACCGTAGTCCTCCATAAAGTACCATCTCTACTCATCCCTGAGCCTTGCGACTCCAACTGGCATCTCACCAAAAATATCTCAGAAACTAACTCGATTACTCTCTCAAGGTATGTTCCATTGAAACTCATTCAACATGTCCCTCTGGCCCCACACTCTATCACATTTGATCTTAGTCTAATTAATCACAATGGAATAACTGGTAAAACCAGAAGCACTTAACCGCCATGAGTCATGGTACTCGAACCATGTGACCACCTCTCGATCTGCTATGAATCATGGTACTTGAACCATATTATCTCCTTTCGATCTACTACTTAGAACCTCTGGAACTCTCCCTGCTTCGAGTATGGGTCCTCTGCTTTCAGTAGTACGGGCTCATACTACCTGCCACATCTACCCATACTTTCCACACGGATCGTCCTAGATTTCCGAAGTAGCTGCTCAACCTTCTCGATCACCAATCCCGTTAAACTTGGTCACTCCCCAGTGAATACTCTAATCTATTAGCATACTCATCTGACTAAGGTCACTCCCTAGGCTCTTCCTAGGTTCCCACACTTCTCTGCCATCAACTGTTGAAGAACTCCTTATGGTGCACGTTTAAGAAAAAAAACTGAAGAATTGGAACATGAGATTTTAATATGTGGTGTGTTTGGTTGTAAAAATAACATAACAAAATTCTGCCTAAATTTGGAAAACCCATTTTTGATTCCCTTGTTTATTAGAAAAGCAAAATTGTCTGTATCTTCTTCAAAACTAATAAAGGGTATTTTGGTTATTTCACGAAAAATGTGATCAAATTACTTGGTAATATGATACAAAAGCAACCACCAAGTGTATTGGCAATAAAATTAACTGAAAACCCATAGAGAAAGACGCCTTTATATGTTTTGTAATAAAGATTGGAAGCAACATGATAATAATTTCATATCTGTGTATGAGACCAAAAATGATAATTTTTAGCATTGTAAGAATATACTCTTTTGATGAAAATCTGTCAGTATTTTTATTTAACCACTCAAAGGAATGGATTCAACCACAAACAATTTTTTTTTAAAAAAAATAATAGAAGAATATTTTCGAAGTAAAGTTGTTTTTTTTTTCTTAAAGTCCTAAGTTTTAGATCCCAAGTAAAGTTACAAATTTCGCAAGTTATCAAAATACCATTTTAACAGTCAACATCTTTATAAAGAAACCATACCTACAAAAATATATACAAGTTTTAGTCATTAGCGTTAAAAAATGGGGAAGTACATATAATGAAGCATTTGTTATACCTGCAACCATATCTGCATTTATATAATGAAATCAACAACACATATCAGTACCTATAAACACACACACACACACTGACACAGTTAAACATATATACACAAAGTTAAAGAGGGGACAATGTACTTTCACACATAGACACAAACTAAAAACTCTAAACATTTGTTTTGTCAAGACTTGTAAGAAAATGAAAAATAAAGTACAGTATTATATAATAAAAGTCGGTGAAAAAATGATAATAAAGTAAATTGCTAGAGTCCATCGTCTTTCTTTTGCATAACACTTCTTATAAAATTACCATTATGGACCTTTAACTCTTGATTAATCTAATTTTCGTTCCTATTTGAATTGATATAAAAATGATCATTCCACTTGTTATGTTATTTAAATGGAAAACCCAGCGGATCGATATAACCACTCTAAATACTATCTTGAGAAAAAAGCATTTTGGCAGACAATCTTTGCTCGTATAAAAACCTGTTATATATCATAACCGTGTAAAAGACCAAAGTACCCCTTAAAAATTTTGTTACACCTAATCCTCAAAGCATCAGACTCACTCACCTCTTTTTTCCATGTGCATGCCATAGTCATCATGTAGGTTAGAATAAATCCTTCACATTTAACAATAACCCCAAAAGGACCAAAATGCCCTTTGGTCATGAGAAATCTTCACATTGAATCCTGCTTCTCCCTTCTTACCAAAGTCATAGGAATTTCTATAGGCCTGAAAAAACTTATCATATTTAATTATAATCAGAGAAGGACTTGCAACATACTTTGTATATGTAGAAAATGATAGATATTTCCCTTTAAATGCCATAAAGAAAACAGAAAAATAAATAACATAAGTCACATTATATAAGCTTTTCAATATCAAATGTAATAATTCATTATGCTTTGTTATACTTTAAAATTTTAGAATATGTCCTGAGCAAACTTTAACTCCTGTATAACTATTAATTAATGATGTTAAAAATTACCATATGGTTACAACCGAAATAATGACAAAGGCCTGTGAAAAGACAGTAGTTGTAATTGGAATCAGAAGAGGGTCCCCATCATGAAATTGTTTTCACAAAAGTTATAGTGCAAGATTCTTTAATTTTATGAATAATTCTTTATATGCATCATAATCAAGTTCTAGAATATGGAGTAATTAGTAACAAAGAAAAGTAAGTAAAAAACATCCGAAAAATAAATAAAAAGAATGAATGATTCATGTTACCTCAGGCATTTTTGAGGTTATAAGGTCATGGGGTATGGACTATGGAGTGTATTTTGACGTGTCTGGGGTATTCACGCGTGAACACCACCCCCTACCGGTGAATGTGACGCGGATTGATGGGTATCATGGACGGTTATGCGGATTCTGATTCGCCAAACCTTTTTGACCGTTAGGTTAATTAAACAAAAATAAAAAATAAAAACTTTTCAATGTATTTCCTCTACTATATATACACAAACACATAAACACACAAAACACATCTCTCTCTACAAATAATATCTCTCTACTATCTCATTATCTCTCAGAAATATGGAGCAAAATCAAAATACATCTACCACTCCAAACACCCAACAACCCCAACCACTCCAAATGATCAATATCAAGGTTACATTCAAATGCTAACATCCCTAATCCAACATCAACCTCTATTTACCAACATTTCATTTCAACCAAAGTACTTCCAACAACAATTACCATAACCCAAATTCCAAGGTTTTTAACAATTTCGACCCCAACAATTCCAAACACAACCATCTCAACAATTCCAAACACAACTATCTCAAGTCCCTTGTTCTCAATCCCCAACTGTAAACTTGGACAACGACGAGGACGACCAGTCGAAGAAACACAACCATCTAGGCGTAGGAAATCAAAAGAAAAAGCTACAAATAGAAGAGGAACAACTTGGATCGAAAAGGAGGAGGAAGCTTTAGCTAAAGCTTGGATTTCTATATCGTGCGACTCGAGGACGGGCAACGCGCAAACGGGAAGCAGTTTTTGGGTTCGTGTTTTAGATCACTTTCACTCGCTCTTGGGAAGGCAAACGGGTCGAACGTATGACACGATCAACGGAAAATGGCATGAAGTACGAGCGGCGTGCACCATGTTTAACGGCATATTTGAAAATCTGAAAAATATGCTTAAAAGTGGTAGCAACGATTTCAATATTTTATCAACCGCATGCCAACAATTCAAAGTTATCACCGGTGGTAAAGCGTTCGGCCACCAAAAAGCGTAGGAAATTTGTCGTAAGGGTCCAAAATGGATCCTTAACCCGGAGACTTCGCATTCGGAATCGACTACCGGCTCCAACAAAATACCGAGAACTTCGGAGTCTGATGTGGGTTTTAGTGTCGACCTCAATGACGACCTCGATGGGACCGAAGGGGAGGGTCCACCGGAAGTCCAACTTCGTCGACCACCGGGAAGGGATAAAGGGAAAAAAGCGGCGTCTTCAAGCGGAAAAGCGATTAACGAAGACATACTTGCCGACAAAATTGACAAAACTCTAAGTTTTTTACAAAAAAAATAAAAAAATATGAGTCAACAGAGAAGTCTCGGCGCCGGAAACAAGCACTCACCGATCTTCAAATTTTAAACATGAAGCCGCAACCAGATATCGACCCGGAAAATTTAGCCGCGTTTTTGAAAATCCAAAAAGAAGTTCGGGAAAAGCATGGATTTTAGGTTTTAACGTTTTTAATATTTTTTTTTTTGGAAAGGGAACTTCCCTAACGAGGGTTTCCGGGCCAGCTTTCGCGCACCGACTAATCCCCCGCTGCAAACATAAAGCTTTGCCTTATGCCCTGGAGTCACTGCAGGCGAACCTCCATGGCCACAAGGGTTGAGTGGTGCCAGGATTTGAACATGGGTCAATAGGTTATCCACCATACCTTCCACATGCCTTACCAAGTCACCACAACCCAAGTGGTTACGTTTTTAATATTTATGTTTAATTTCTATGGTTTTTAGTTATTTAGGTTTCAAGTTTTATTTTTTATTAAAATTCGGAATCTAGATTTGAAATTTTATGTTTTATGTTTTTTTTTTATTTAATGTGAAATATCTAATTATGTTATTAATTTAGTTTTTTATTTTAATTTTAATCTAAATATGATACACCTAGAAGTTCAAGTAGGTGGGGCCTGGTGTATCGGAGGAGAAAATATAATTATTTTTATTCCAGTTTGGTATTTATTTGTTACCTGGGAGATAAGATATTATCTTTCCTATTATCTTTTCTATTTTTTAGGATCTGGGTTTGCAGAACATTATAAGTATGATTGTTTCTAGTTTTAAAGCATCAATGAATAAGAATTGAACCTTAGGTTTTTTTTTTGTGGAGTTTTTCCTATTCTCGAATTCAGGACCTATCATCTTGGTATCAAAGCTCCGATGGCCGATAAACTAGAAGGGAAAGGGACCAATGCCGAAAGGTTAGGCTCTTTAGAAACCACTTTCAATCGGATCCTGGATGCGGTTGAGGCACATAAAGAGGAGGTAACAATGAAGATGGATGATCTAACTAGGGCTATTTCCGATTTGGCCTTGGCAATGAAAAGATCGGTCAAAAAAAAAAGTGATGCCAGTTCTTCAGCGGAGTCACAGAGCGACACCACCAGCGACATCGAAGATTCAGACGTTTCACAAGGCTCAAAGAAATTAAAAAAAAAGGAGAAAAGGAGGAGTACCGGGCAAGAGTATCGAAAATTGAATGTAATGCCCCGACTCTCAGGTAATAATTTAAATAAAATATTTTTGGGTTTTGGCCCTACTCGACGAGTTGGTTGCCATACTCGTCGAGTAGCATCGGGTTGGATCGCGAATTAAGTGATCTACTCGGCGAGTCCTTTGTGGGACTCGGCGAGTAGGAGCTGGAAAATGAAACCCTAATTCCCGGGGTTTAATCCCTTATTTAAAGAAGCTCAAGCCTCTTTCAGTTCCTTTGCATCCCCCTTTGCACCTCTAACTCGTGTGTATGTGTGTGTGTGTGTGCCCATTGTGTGTTGAAGCTTTGAGAGAAGAATTTTGGTGTGAGAGTCTGGGGAATCAAGTGATTGAGGCAAGGAGCTGGAAGGAGATCCGATTTCTACTCCTGTGGACATCTCTTGGGAAGGTATTTGACCATTACCCTCAGTTATTTCACTTTAGACCTCATCTTTGAATGAGTTTTAGGGTTTTAGAAAGGGTATCAAGTTGGTATGGCAATCTATCGGCTAGATCTGAAGTTGTAACTTCAGATCTGGAGCCTCTTTGGATTATTCAAGCATAAAGTTCTAGCTTTAGTCTAGTTTAAGGTCCCCTTGGTCCATGAACACCCATTAAAAGTTTGGTTTTGGCATTTAGAGCTTGTAAAGCAATGCATGCACGTAAAGTTTGCAACTTTACGTGATAAGCAGGCTTAAGGAAGTTAGATCTGCAATTTGGGATCTTGCCATGGCTTAAAGACGTCTGCATGTTAAAATGACTGAAGGGACTCGGCGAGTCGCAAAGCCGACTCGGCGAGTCATATGAAGATGTGCATTAAACCCGACGAGTTGGATGAACAACTCGGCGAGTCAGATGAAGGAAGACATGAACTCGACTAGTTGGTTGAACAACTCGGTGAGTTAGATGAAGATGGTCATGAAAATCGACGAGTTGAAGAACAACTCGGCGAGTCGTATGAGTTTTAGCCAAGGATATGTTTGCGTGTATACCGTTCGAGTTGCAAGGAGGAAACTCGACGGGTGGCCTTAAGATTTGATCGGGATTCGAAGGAACTCGACGAGTCACCTCGATGACTCGACGAGTTGGAATGTGCTTCAAGGACTTGACGAGTAGCTGAGTGTACTCGGCAAGTTGAGGTTAACATGGATTGTTAACCTTGACCAAGGACTTTGACCTTGATCAGGAATTGACTAGTGAGTTATGGAGTGCCTTATAAGGCTAAGGACTTATGAGTATATTGTGTTATGGTTATAGGTGGTGGAGCCTGTGACAAGTGATCCGATAGTTGGAGTTACCTTCCGAGTCAACATCTGCGAGGTGAGTTATCCTCACTATATTGATAGGGTCTATGGCACCAAGGCCGACCCTTTAGTTGTTATTGTTATGGTATGCTATACGTGATATGATCTGTTTGATCGGAATCAAGATAGACAATATGTTATGCTTTTATGATCCGTAGGGATTGGTATGTTAGAGACCTGTTAGGTCGGTGCTCTAGTTACAAGAGAATTCTATGATTGATGATCAGTGAGATAGATATGCTTGATGTTTGTATATGCCAGTATAAGATAGTATGTGCACATGGTTATTTGCTTGTTGGGTGGGTTGAGGCGGTCCTGCTTTGTGCTGAAGGCCAACATACCCTATGAGCGGTCCGCGGAGACTGTAGGCCCACATGACGGACCAGTCATGCCAAGGCTCGAGATAGATTCAGATAGACTGTAGGCCCAGTAGGTCGGACCAGTCAGGCCGATGGCCCAGTATGCATGTTGATTAATTGATTGTTATTGATATGGTTTCTGTCTGTACGGTATTGGTATTTTGGGGGTAGCTCACTAAGCCCTCGGGCTTATAGTTTTCAGTTTATTGTTTCAAGTACTTCAGGAGATCGAGGGAAGGCGAAGGCGTGACTGTACCGCTCCTCATCCTTATGATCTGTTTTGGGACACTCTGATGATAAATGATTTGGAAATGTTTTGTAAAAACAATTAATATTTGTTTCTTTTGTTAATGTTAAAAGTTTAAATTTGGCGTAAATTTTAAGGATGTTACATTGAAGATCCCTATTTTCAGTGGGGAAGACGTGCAAGGCTGGGTTTACTATATCGAACGGTATTTCGAGGTCTAGGAGGTCAAAAGGAAGGAAGGGCTTAAGGTGGTAGCGGTTTGTTTGGAGGGACCACCTCTCTCGTGGTATCGTTGGCAAGACTCTAGGAAACCATTCAGCTCATGGAGTAAGTTCAAAACCAGGTTGTTAGATCGTTTTCAATCAGCTCGGGAGGGTAGACTGCTGGAGCAATTCTTAGCTCTCCAACAAGATGGCATTGTTAGAGATTATGTGGATCGTTTCAAAAGCTTCGCGGACCAAGTAAGTGGTGTCTCGGAATCTGTCCAGGAAAGCACTTTTATAAAAGGCCTTAAGTCAAGTGTTCGTTCCGCTGTACGGATTGCTGAACCAGAATCGTTGTCACAAACCATCCGCATGGCCCTGAAAATTGACGAGAACAAGGGGTAGGGAGAGGTTAAGGTGGGTGGGTATTGTACAAGTAAGTGGAACAACGGTGGTGCCGCCAAGACAATTGCCACCCAAACCCCGACTCCGACTGGTATTGTACTAGAACAGAAGACAAGCTCGAACAACGGGGGTGGTACTTTCAAAAGACTGACACCGATTGAGTTAGCAGAGAAAAAGGCTAAGGGTATTTGTTTTCGTTGTGATGGAAAATATTCTCCGGGTCACCGCTGTCCTAGCAAGGCGTTGCAAGTGTTGTTAGTTGATGAAGAAGATACCGTAGAAGAGGAAGACGATGGAGACCACCCGCATTTGGAGGCGATTGAAGTGTCCTTAAATTCTGTTTCCGGTCTTACCCCTCCGCACACGATGAAGGTACGGGCAAACATTCAGGGGGTCCCGGTGGTAGTATTAATCGACTATGGAGCCACCCACTCATTCGTCTCTAACTGGGTAATCGAGATTTTGGGGTTGACGGTTATTGATACAGGATCGGTGAGGGTTGTGTTGGGCAACGGGAGGAAAGATAAGACCCGGGGTACTTGCAAGGCAGTGACCCTAGATTTGCAGAGGTGTAGCATGGTGGAAGATTTTATTCCTTTGGATTTGGGAAGTTCAGATATGATTTTGGGCATCACTTGGTTGCAAACGTTGGGTAATATCACATCGAATTGGAGGGAGTTGTGGATGAGTTTCTGGGTTGACGGTTGATTGATCACCATACGCGGGGACCCGAGCCTCTCCAAATCCCTTGTGTCGTGTAAGGCGTTGGGGAAATTGTTGCAAAAGGAGGGTGAGGGATTCGTCATCCACGTAGGTACTATCGAAGATGAAGGCGATTTAGGTCAGAACACAGGGACTACTCAGATCATATTGGACAGTTTTGGGGAGGTTTTTAACATGCCGGAAGGGTTACCACCACCAAGAAGCCATGAACACACCATTAATTTGTGCGAGGGAACGGGCCGATTAGCATCAGACCGTATCGCTACCCACATGTGCAAAAACACGAAATTGAGAGATTAGTGAAGGAAATATTAGAGGCGAGAGTGATTCAGCCAAGTACTAGCCCGTTTTCGAGCCTGGTGTTGCTGGTCAAGAAAAAAGATGGTAGTTGGTGGTTTTGTGTAGACTACCGGGCCCTCAACAAAGCAACGATACTCGACGAATTTCCGATTCCGGGCATAGATGAGTTGTTGGACGAGCTTCACGGGGCGGCGGTTTTCTCCAAATTGGACCTTAAGTCGGGGTACCATTAGATTCGCATGAAGATAGAGGATATTCTGGAAACCGCGTTTCGGACACATGAGGGCCACTACGAGTTCTTGGTAATGCCGTTTGGATTAGGGATGTCAAAAACCCCCGCGGGACCCCGATACCATACAGGACTAATTTTTAAAAAAATTCGGGAGCGGGGGCGAAATTAACCCCCGTTTATTTTCGGGACCGAGGTCGGGAGTAAGTATTTCCGTCCCGTACTCCCGCGGGGGCCCCGTTTATATTTATATAAAATATATATTTATTTAATGTAAAATAGAAATGGGTTATGGGAAACTAATTTTAATATTAAGGCTTCACAAATCATTGTTGCCTTAAGCTTTATTCCGTCTTCCTCTTCCAAAGACCCAAACAGTGAACGACGAATCGAATCAATCGACGATTGTTGGAATTATCTTTTTGTAATATTATTGGAATTGTTGTTTTGTAATATTGGATTCGTAATGTTGGATTTTTTATTTATTTGCTTCTAAAAGATTAAGTTTTAAGCTTTTAAAGTTATTAAAAATAGTATTTTTTTTTGCCTGCAAAAAAAATCCAATTTTAAGCCTATAAACTGGGGGAACCGGGGGAACGGGGGCGGGACCAGGGGCGATGGAGGTAGCTGGGGGCGGGACCGGGGGCTATGTAAACGGGGGATCCGGGGCAGGATCGGGGGCGGGGGCAAAAAGTGATTTCGGGGGCGGGGGCAGGGGCAGCTATTCCCGCTCCCGTTTGCCCCCGTTGACATCCCTAGTTTGGATTGAATAACGCCCCGGTTACTTTTCAGTCGCTTATGAACAAGGTATTTAGACCTTTTTTTACGGAAATTCGTGCTGGTTTTTTTGATGATATACTAGTGTACAACAAAACCGAGCACGAACATCGGGATTATCTTTCGACGGTACTTCGAGTTTTGCAAAAAAATCGTCTTTATGCAAACCGAAAAAAATGTTATTTCAATAAAAAACAGGTGGAGTACATCGGTCATATTGTATCAAAGGATGGGGTTGCGGCTGATTCGAGCAAGGTTTCTACCATGTTGAAATGGCCACTGCCCAAAACCTTGAAGGCGTTGCGTGGGTTTTTAGGTTTAACAGTATATTACCGGAAGTTTGTTAAGGATTATGAGAAGATTGTGTGGCCTTTAACCAAACAATTAAAGAAGGATAACTTTAAGTGGAACGATGAGGCTACCGAGGCGTTTAAGAAATTGCAACTAGCGATGACTAAGCTACCGGTTTTAGCTCTTCCGGATTTTTCGAAGGAGTTTGTATTGGAAACGGACGCATCGGGGTATGCTTTGGGGGCGGTTCTCATGCAAGACGGGAGGCCGTTGGCCTATTTCACACTACTACAAAATGAGTCTAATGCAACCTTTTAGATGCAACCTTTTAACAATAGTTGCATTTGATTATAAATAAGATTTTGTCCAACAAAAAGGTTGCATTAAAAGATTTATTGCAACCTTTTTTTATAAAAGTTGCAAGTTATATTAAAAATTGTAACTGTTTTTAAAAAAAGTTGCAAATTATATTTAACACTGTAACTTTTTTCTAAAAGGTTATAAATTTTGTTAAAAATTGCAACTTTTATTAAAAAGGTTGTATTGTTAAAACATGAATGCAATTTTTAGGGTAAAGGTCCATGTTTTATAATTTTGAAATCTAAATTATAAAATAAAGAGTAAATTACTGAAATCGTCCTGTGGTTTGGTCAAAATTGCACGTTTGGTCCCTAACTTTTTTTTTGCACTCGGATCATCCCTATGGTTTGATTTTGTTGCGTTTTTCGTCTCTATGGTTTGGTAAAAATTGCATGTTTGGTCCCTAACTTTATGTATGTAAGGGACGAAAAATGCAACAAAATCAAACCACGGGGACGAAAAATGCAACAAAATCAAACCACAGGGATGATCCGAGTGAAAAAAAAAGTTAGGGACCAAACGTGCAATTTTGACCAAACCCCGGGGACGATTTCAGTAATTTACTCTAAAATAAAATAAACAAAATTTAATTAAAACACTTCTATATATAATCCTCATTAATAAATGAAGGTTTTTTTTGCCACTTGTCAATCTCTCATGAGTTTTGATAATTGTCATTTTGTGGTAATTTTGAAATAAATATTATCCACTTATCAATTTTTGGTTTGTTTTCATTTTTAATTAAAATTCATATACTTATATATGTAAAGTATTAAATATCATATATATGATATTAAATTGTAATAAATACGTTTTTTTTTTCTTATTTTAAAGTTGTACATTAAAAAATACTTTGTTTTAATACTTTAAATTTAATTATTTTTTTAATCAACCCGTATAATATACGGGTCTCACACCTACTTTAAATATAATATCCAAGATATTAATTATTATTATCAAATAAACTTCAAATTTTCTTTAAATATATTTTTCATACATTTATTTTCAAAAAATTTGATTTACATATCTTATCTAATTTCATTTTCCCTCTCAATAAATAACCTTTTATTTCAATTCCCGCTAAATTTTTTTTTTTTATTTCCCTGTAACTAAATCATACAATATAATTTCCAATATTTGACTTTTCAACTAAAAGCACGCTATACCCAATTACATCTGATCTTTCAATCGACATCATACTCTCTCAACCTAAGTCGGGAATCAGGCAATCACTGCCATTGAAGGTAGCAGGCTCACAGTGCCATTCATTGGTACTGTTCATCTCGTTTCCAAAGTTTCGATTCACACCATTGAAGGCTCCAAGACTTAGTTATCTTCGTACCTTTTCTATTCAAGGCAAGCGATAATAGCTAATTGAAATTTCATTTAACCTAATCGATTCCAAGCTATTTCGTCTCTCCGATTTGAGTTGCTAAATATTTTCTCTACTCTCGGTTAATCTTCCACAGGTGCAAGGAGGCGGAATACCCTCATCTAATTGTCAATTTCATCAAAGCTTCTTGCTTAAGTTTTTCTACCTAAACCAGGTATGACCCTGTACCTTTTTTTTTTCTCAAATTACTCTTCTACTTGATATAATTCAGTAAATTTTTGCTTCAGAGCATAGCTAATTGATTCAAAGTTGTTTGTTTAATGATTTACCATGCATATACATGTTAAACATGATCATATTTGAAAGAAAGGTACATGCAAAACATATGATATTTATTTACCTTGATTTATAAGGGAAAAAAATACCAAACAACCCCTACACAAATTCGTAAAAATAATCCCTGCTTTCAAGTTATAAGTACTAAATAGCCTCTCCATAAATCAATACCAAACACCATAATACTAAAACAGGGAGTAGAACATTATAGGATATATGGGACTTATACCCAAGTGCAACTATGAAGTTCTTGAGTTTGGTTAGAATTTGTATCTATAGAAGGCTTTCAGCAGAAGATTCCTCCCAAAGACATAAAAATGGAGAGTTTTTCGGTTAGACAAATAAGAATAAACTTATAAGTTGATCATGTAGTATTTCGAATAATTATCTTCTGAAAAAAAATTGAACCAAATCAAGAGCATATGGGATGATATCAAAAACATAGGCAATTAACACAGAGATTGTGTTTAACAGTTGAACCTAAAATGAGAAACAACATAAAACATGAGAAGTAATCAAAAAGTTAGAAATATAATTTTTATATTATATATTACAGAAAAGTATGAATGATTTTTACCTTGGAATCAAACTCCTGAACATCCTTAATCAATTAAAAAAATAGTTTCCAATAGCCTGTCAGATGTTGCGAAAAGGAAGCATCTTCAATATGGAAATATAAAGACAGATTTGAGTATTATTAAATTATGACTAGCATATTATAAGTCCAACACATTTATTTTATTTTCAACCTCTTAAACCCAAAATATGCTCACGGACATGTTTGTAAAAGTCAAATTACAACAGATTTGACTATTTTGCCCCTACAAAAAAATTTTATAATAAGCCACATTTTTGCCGTATTAACATTTTTTTATGCATTATATGCGTTGTACTTTATAAATTTTTTACTTTTAACTATTTTTTCATAAGAATATATACACTTTTTCTATGTCTTACTGATTTGCCCCTGAATTTTTTCAGTTTCCTAAAACACCAATCTCATTGTTTTTACTATGTCTTAATTAGGTGTATAAACAAAGACTGTTATAACCGGCTTGACAACTAATTTTATACGAAAATAGTTGATTTTTACTTGGATTGTATTATAATTGTGTATAATATATAGCTTATATTGGTTATGAGTGTTACAGATTCATGGCTGCAGAAAATGTCATGCTACTTAGGCAACTTGATTTGTCGCATAAATTTATTTTCATGAAGATCCCCAATGAAACAGAAAATGTTTTACAAGTTATCTAGTTTATAAAAAAAATCATAATAGAAGGACCAAAATGACCTTTATCCAGAATTGACATTATTCATAATAAAACAAATACACACATAGACACTTCAGATAACAAATTTCTGATTAATTTAAACAAATTACAATTTTGTCCCATCACAATAATTACCAAATCCAAAGATTTTACTAGTTCTTTCAATAAAAAAAATATGATTCGACTATTTTCCTATTTGCATATGTGTTGTAATAAAATACACATATTGCAACAAATTTGACTGTTTTACCCCTCTCATAAAATCTACCTTATAATAAGTCATATTTCTGCATTTTATCTTTCTTTTTTCTGAATTTTTTAAACATAAATGGAATTAAACAATGCAACGCCTCTCATAAAATCTACCTTATAATAAGTCATATTTCTGCATTTTATCTTTTTTTTTTTCTGAATTTTTTAAACATAAATGGAATTAAACAATGCAACGTTAGAGAATATGCATAATATAGCATTGTACTTTATAAACTTTTGATTTTTAACAATTATAAAGTATAATTTTTACCCCTGTGATAGTTATAAAGTTTATAATATGTTTTTGTAGTCAAATATGATGTCTCATTTACCCGTGTCACTGCTAAAAACGCCGATAATTTTTTTTCCATTTTCAACTTTTTCTTACTGTTGTACTGTTTTTATTAAGTTAGATTACAAAATCAATTTTGTCCAATAGAATTACTGTATTTACCCTGCTACTGCTGTTGCTTTTGTTTGTGAATTTGTGTAACGTGGCATCATAATTCATATTTAAATGTTATCATTGCATTCACATTGGTTTTTTTTATGGAATTATCTGATAAAAACATAAACTATGTTGCTATTATTGGTTGAAAACGTAAGTATGATGCCATTATGGTATAAAATGAAATTATGATGTTATTATGTGATAAAAATAAAAGAAAAATAAAAGCATGATGCTATTTGTAACTGACAATCACACATATACCCCTGTATAATCTTCACTCATTTGAGTGTAAATATCTGGTTGTAAATATCAAACCTCTTCCCATTCTCCATCTTCAAGTAATAAATCCTTTCATGGATGAATGATCCCTACTTATGTATGTGTTGTGCAGACCTGAGCTCTAATCCTTTATTTATAGTCATTATTTCCCAAAAGAATTTAATAACTTTGCCTTTCACTGCAAATCAAGAATTATAAAATGCAAAAATAGTACAGTACATAAGTTTGGGTTATGAGGATCTGTTTGACATATCAATGGACGATGGTTCGAACCCTAAGTGGGGGAGAACTGGGTATTGTGTGGGGGAGGATCCTCACTCTGATGTGGAACAGAAGTTTGGGTTATGAGGATCTGCAGTGAAAGTATATGAGACGGGAGTCATGTGGCAGTCGAGACAATGTACAACACGAGGTGATGCATGCCGCATATTCTCAGGAGAAAACAAGTGACTTCACGGCAGGTGGCCGACTCCCTTTTTATTCTTTTTTTAATTTCTTTATTCTTTATTTGTTATTTATTTATCAAAAATTATTTATTAAATAAGATGGCGCCCACTCCCACCCCTTACCTTCACCATCCGATCGTCGCTTCAGTCTCCCAAATCTCGACCTCTCTGTTTTTTTTTCCACCCTACTTGACACCTTGACACCAGACCTAGGAGACGTCGGAATCCTCCTTCACCGGCGACCGTACCCTTGTAGGCGACTCTTATCTCCCTTATGTCCATCTTCGAGAACTCCATACATTATTGAACGATCTTCTTGCCAACGAGAATCTCATATATAATTGGTGTTGGTATATGGTTTCGTCGGAGCATCACAGTGGGGAACTGACGAACGTTCTGGAACACCGATGAACCCGATGCGCCCACAAATGATTACACGATCCCTTTCATTTATTGCAGGTTTGATAATCGATTTCTCACAGATAAGGGTTTCTAAAAATCATGAAAGGCATTGTTTCATCGGGTTTCAAATATAAGGGGTTCTAAAAATCATTAAAGGTGTTGTTTTTGACTATCGATTTCTCACAAAGAAGAGTTTCGCAGATATGGTCTTTTGAAATTGGTTTTTGAACATCAGGTTTTGGGAAAATCGTGAGATCTAAATTTAACGGAGTACTAGTCACTGTGGGTTCAACCTCGTCGGACCATTCCAAAATTCATTTAACCTCTAAACCACTCTCTTAATTCTGATATTCTCCCTATCGTTCCACAACTCCACATTACCCAAGCTTCGATCCACAATTAGTGGTCTGATTTGCCTCGGAGACTTATATCGGATAACTCATCTGGAAACAGGGGTGGTGTCGGATGGGTGGAATGTAACTTGATTCATTCTACAAATTGAGGTATCGAGGTTCATCTGGGTTTTTAGATTTTTTTTTTCGGTGGGAGAAATGGTGGTAATTAGTCTGGTCCAGAGGTGGTGGTGACTTCTGGTGGCATAAGGGTGGTAGTTTACTCTAGCAAGAGATAAATCAGATGAGTGGAAGGATAATTACAGGCAATACATTTAACACTAAATTACACAAGTGGTCCCGTCTTATTAATAAACATTTTTAATAAATAAATAACAAACAAGTTAAAAAAGGAATAAATAAGGGTAATTTATTCTTTTTAGGTATGGTAACAAGTAGGGATAATGACTTGATAGGGTAATATACTTTTTGAAATGTACACATTTAGTCCTTTTTTTTTTTTTTGTAAAATAAACACTTATACTTTATTTTTTGTAACAATGCAATCCCGGTATACCGGTCATATACGAATTTTCTTTTAGGGATTTATTTTACATTGTTACAAAAAATTTTCTTTTAGGGATTTATTTTACATTGTTACAAAAATTCGTATATGACCGGTCATATACTTTATTTAATTCTTACAAAAAATAAACCCTTATACTTCATTTTTTGTAACAATGCAATCATTGTGACCGGCTATACCCGATATACCGGTCATATATTTTATTTAATTCTTATTTTTTTTTGTAAAATAAATTATTATACCCGGTATACCGGTCATATACGATTTTTTTTTTTTTTTGCAATCATTCTTATTTTCCCTAAAAGAAAATTTGTATGTGACCGGTATATCGGGTATAACCTAGTGTGTACATATTAATAAAGTATAAAGATTTATTTAAAAAAAAAAAAAAGAATTAAATGTATATATTTCAAAAAATATATTACATTATCCCTTTGAAGTAAAGTAAAGGCGTAACAAAAAAATATAATATATCTTAAGGATCTTCGGAAAAAGCTCTTAGAAACGAAATACGCAGATTAACCCAAACCAAACCTCTTAAAACCACCAGAAAGACAACACAGTAGGGAGAAAACCAATCGGTGGTAAATAACGAACTAACGACCACTACCACCTTAACGCTACGCTTACCTACGTCATCTGTCTCATGTGGACTCTGTGCTAATCACTTTAAAGGCGCTTGGTTAAGCTTCCAGAGCTTAAACAGGTCATAATATTGATTCTCGTTGAATCCTCAGATTTCGATCATGATATCGTTATCGAAAATTCAGAAGAAGATCAGGGGAAAAAGCGAAGATTACTAGCTCAATTTGCCACCAATTTCAATAAGGTATTTCCCCCAAAATTCTGCTGAATAGGATTCGATCGACCATGTCTTCGGTTAGATCACAAATTGGTGGGAACGGGCGTTGCATAATACCCTAAAACCCTTAATGGGAACAATCTTAATCCAAATTGGAGTTTCGAATCCTTCAGCAGCTTGTCAATAACCGAAAACATAGAAAAGAAATTGATTTTATTCGGTCTGTTGCTGTGGACAGGTAATTGATTTCGTATGTGCAATGATAATTTATGTTTTACACAGTATTTGACTCCGATTTTTATCATGTAGTATGCTCGATATTAACATATTATTAGTGCTCCATCAATTAGCTTGTTCTCATATTTCTTTGAAGATCTGTATGAGTTTATGTTTTAGTTTGATTATTGCAATGTAACATTTTGACATGCACATTAGCTATTTGATAAAATGCCTGAACAAAATTGTTCAGATTATACGTCAATTTTTGGATCTATTGACATCCACAATTGAGAATTCATTAATAAATCTAGCCTCCCCTTATCCCATATTATGGGATTTGGGTATTCTTGTTGTTGCTTGATATGAAATCTAATGTTGATTGCTTTTCTAGTTTGGGGCAATGGAGAATCGTATCAGTCAAATCCCCTCCTCAACACAAAGATGGAGAAAAGTTGCTTATGGAGGTATGCAGCCTGGTTTTGATGACAATCACACAGACAACACTTTCCTTCAAGAAATGGTGATGAATGCAAATGTTGTCAAAAGAGACATGCTTAAGGTCATGCTAGATTCCATTTCCATATCTCAATACTTTTGCATTGTAGCACTTGTGGTTTTGGTCTGGACCCACACTCTCAATTCCACCATCTCTCACAACTTTTTATTAATTCTTGATGTCGCCCTTCTTGCATCCGGCTTCTTTATCCTCCTCTTAACAGCCAAAATGCTTTCATTCACTCTCCTCATCAACTACTTAATTAAAATCTCCTTTTTCACAACCAGTCTTTATGTCTTATCCCCAATATACCACACGTTGACCAGGTCAATAAGTTCAGATTCCATATGGGCATTAACCACATCACTCATAATCCTCCATCTTTTCCTCCATAACTATTCTGGATCCACCATTAAAGCTCCTGGAGCTTTAGAAATTAAACCGACTTTAACCAGTAATATTTCACTTAATGCTTCCATTGTGGCTTCACTTTTGATTGCTTCTAGGCTTCCTTCAAGGGTTCTTGTGTTTGCTGTCATTTTGTTTTCATTGCAGGTTTTTCTTTTTGCACCTTTGGTGACTTATTGCCTTAAGAAATACTCAGTAAGGTTGCACCTGTTCTTCTCATTGGTGTTGATGGTGATGACTTTGAGCTGTGTTTATTGTTTGCATAAACTGATGTTTGTGTTGTTGTTGGGAGTGTTGAGTTTTGTGAATTTGGTGTGTCCTTATTGGTTGATTAGGATTCAAGAGTATAAGTTTGAGATTAATGGTCCATGGGATGAGGCTAAGTTATGTTTTAACATAACAGACTGAAATGAATCCATGCCTTTTTACTTTTTACTTTGTTCTTATAGGTTGATTAGGATTAAAGAAGTATTATAGTTAATTCTTGATTCATTCTTGAATATATAGCATGACTCTAACAGCATGTGTCAACTCTCAACTCTCAAGTATCTGATATGAAAATGCAAATATCATGTTTGCCCCTTTTTTTTGTCATGTAACTAGTAAAATTGTACTTTGACTTATATTTTGATTTTACAAATAGTTGACCTTTTTTTTTGTCTTGATGAGATGCAAAACGTTTTTCACCACTTTACTGTTGGTTTTCAATACCAATCAAAATCATCAAAACAAAAAAAATTACCATCTTGAAGAATATGATAAATTTGGCCAATTATTGATAAGAACGCCTTAAGCTTCAAACAAGTGTAAATAGGGTCGTATTATTGTATTATTTTTTTTTTTTTAATTTAGTTTTCTTGGATCAAAGAGGAAGCAATGAAAGGTTTAACAAAAGAATGCAATCCGTTTGTAAAAAGTGCAAACGTGTTTATATGTTAACCGGAAAAGAGATGGTCATTGCTCCCTATTAGTCACATTGTCAAAAAGTTTAGTATTACTTCGTCATTGGGTGTCAACTTCTTTGGTTAACCGCCACAAAGAGATCGTAAACACATAATGATCAACGACCAAAACAAACAACAAGATGCATTTACTAACTTTGTATTGGAAGCACCACTCTACAGTAAGTATACATTATGCAAGCAAAGTAAAAACATTAAAAGATATCTCAAGGTCTATAAAAATATTATAAATGAGCACTTGTTTCATGGAAATATAAATTATTGTCATGAATGATACATCAATTTATATATATACTAATTGAGAAGTAGGAACAGGAGTTGATTTCTATTTGACCACTTCAATTTTTTTTACCGTCTCTGTTGCCTAATAAGATGCCTCTCCGCCATTTTAGCCAATAATAACATTAGTGTTCCTATCCACCGCCACAGCTTCCCAATTGCTACTTGTTTCTTTCTTGCTCCACTGGCTTCTTATTCTTCCACGTTTCTTTCACCGTTCATCATCACCGCCTTCTATTTCTTTCGTCTATTCTACCTCCGTCTTTTGGAGACGGTTAATAAACCTCAACTTCCTTCCATTCCCTACTTGTGGATTCTCTTTACCAAGTCGATTTCGGTTTCACTTTAACGCCCATGGCTACCGCCTACATTACACTCCTCCTTTTTCCTCGATTCACTTAGACCTTGCCGTTAATTTCATTTTCTAGGGCAAAATCAGACAACACCAACTTATCCCTAATTATTTGAGTTGGTATTTGGCCGAGGGGGACACCGAACAGTGTGCGAAGATTGTTGCACGAAACCAGAATCTGTGTATAGAAGATTACATGTTTCTTGTAAAACCCATGGTTAATTCAGGCCTTGGCTCGATTAAACATGTTCATATGTCAATTGTGAATGAGGTATGTCTGGAGTTCCTGTTGTTTTACCTTTATTTATGGTGTTCATGTGTTTGGTTACTGAATAATTGATCTGAAGTCATATATATGTTTAGAAGATGTTCAGGATTCTTCGTACATGATTAAAAAACATTGGTATGATTGGATTAGATTAATGGATTCCAGATGGTCAAAGGATGAACGGTCAATGAAGTACATAAAAGTCACACTTTAAAGTATATACATCAGTTGTTTTCTTGAAGATGGCGACAGAGCTGAAGTAGAACCATTGGGTGTAGAGGCAGTAGACCAGATAAAGATACCACAGACCGCATTCATGATATCAGGCCATGGGGTATGGTCACAATGTATTTATTAGAAAAGTGATGTCACGTATGCGCCACATCACCCCACTACATGTTCACCACACTAGCCTTGGAAATGGTTATCACTATACATTTTTTTTATAATATATATTTTGATAGGTCCTGAATTCGAGAACAGGAAAAACTCCAAAAAAAACCGTAAGGTTCAATTCTTATCCATTGATGCTTTAAAACTAGAAATAATCATACTTATAATGTTCTGCAAACCCAGATCCTAAAAAATAGAAAAGATAATATCTTATCTCCCAAGTAACAAATAAATACCAAAAATACCAAACTGGAATAAAAATAATTTTATTTTTCTCCTCCGATACACCTGGCCCCACCTACTTGAACTTCCAGGCGTATCATCACTCCCCGCCCAATTTTGAACCTTATCCTCAAGGTTGAAGTCGGGGAACTATCCATTCAAAACAACAAAATCCTCCCATGTTGCTTCATACTCCGACAAACCTTGCCAACGAATTAGAACTTCCTTATCCCTGCCCCCTCGCGAACACCCTCCACCGCCTTCGACTGCAACAAAACCTCCATTTCTTCTGTCAAAGTAGACGGTAAGTTGGGAGTAGCCACCCGGTTACCGATATCACGTTTAAGCTGAGACACATGAAAAACATTATGGATTCGAGTTGTATCGGGCAGCAACAACCGGTATGCCACGAGTCAATTTTTTCCAAGACTTCGAAAGGACCAAAGTATCGAGGTGACTACTTCTCATTTACCCGTCTAGCCACAGTTCGCTACCGGTAGGGTCGTAATTTTAAGTACACACGATCTCCCACAGCAAAGTTCTCATTCCGTCGATGCCCATCCACATGCTTTTTCATTTGTTGTTGGGCTTTGAGCAAGTGTCTTTTCAGCTCCTGCAACATGCGATCCCTTTCTTCCAAGTATTGCTCCACTATACCCACCACCGTCTTCACCTTACCATAATAAACCAAGTGAGGCGAGTCCCGCCCATATAAGACCTGGAAAGGCGTCATTTTCGCGGAGGTATGGAAGGAAGTGTTATACCAATATTCCGCCCACGGTATCCAAGAAACCCAACGAGACGGTGTCTCATCCGTAAAACACTGGAGGTAAGTCTCCAAACATCGGTTTACGGGTGGTAAGTCGTACTCCGCAACTTAGTACCCATCATCCGGAAAAGCTCCTTCCAAAACTTGCTAAGAAACACCTTATCCTGGTCCGATACAATGGACTCCGACACCCCGTGAAGACGAACAATCTCCCGTAGAAACACATTCGCTACCGTGCTGGCCGTGTACGGGTGTTGGAGAGGCAGAAAACGGGCATACTTACTCAAGCGATCCACCACCACGAAAATGACGGTATTACCCTCCGATCTTGGGAAACCATCAATAAAGTCTATCGTGAGCTCCGACCAAACCGTCGATGGTAATTCAAGTGGCTGAAGTAACCCACTAGGTGACATGGTCGAATACTTATGCCTTTGGCACGTGTCACACTCCACCACCCACCTAGCCACATCGTCCTTCATTCCAACCTAATAGACCTCTCTTGCAAGCCATTGGTAAGTCTTTTGTACCCCGGAATGACCCCTGAGAGCACCTTCATGGAATTCCTTGCAAAGAAACGACACCCAACGCGACCCCTTCGGAACGACCAGCCGACTGTCAAACAAACCCGATCATGGCTAATTGAATACCCCACTGGAGCCAACCCATCCCGAACACGTTTTTTAATTGCCGCCATCTCCAAATCAGCGTCCAAATCTGACCACAACTCTCCCCAATCCACACCACCTGTCGTAATCGCGGTCAATCCCACCTTCGGTTCGATACGTGACAGCGCATCTGCTACCAGATTCTCACTGCCTGACTTATAAATAATATAAAAAGTAAACCCCATAATTTTCGATAACCACTTTTGGTGGTCTTCCGTAACCCCACGTTGTTCGAGTAAAAATTTTAGACTACGCTGATCGGTTCGAACAGTGAATTTACGACCCGATAAATATGGCTTCCACTTTTGAATAGCCAACACAATGGCCATGAGCTCACGCTCATAAACCGATTTCTTCTCATGGTTCAAGGTTTTTTTTCAGCAGCAACAATAGGAAGTGATAGCGAGGGGGACAGGGATGGAGATGGGGATGTGGATGGAAATAAATATGTGGCCACTTACCATCAACATCAATGGTGGAAATCTTGTGATTGGGCTAATATTTCATATCCAATCCTTAGACTATATCCAATCCTTAGACCAACTTTCTTCTTCTTCATGGTGGAGAAAATCCTTTATGAGAGAGACCGGTTATGGGGGACAACTCCTCTACTATCACTAACACTTGCAAAATCTATGGTGGTTGACAATTGTGATGCGATGCAATTTTGTTATAGGAACATTAGTAGCAACGCGTGATGATGATGATATGAAAGAGATTGTCAAGAGAGGAAGCTACATCTTCTTGAGATTGGGGTTGTATGATGCTTAGATATGAGAGATGAGAAGAGGTCTTCATCTAGAGATTCAAATGAATCTCTAACGATAGTTGTGGCAACAATAATAAGGGATTGAGGATGTCGATGACTAATTTCACGATGATTATGAAGGAGGGAGTCATTCCCTCCCAACCCACTCAACCCACTACCACATCTGTTTTTCTCTATTTTTTTCTTCATCTTTTTCAACCCACAACATACAGAAAATCTATATTTTTCAACCCACTCAATTAAAAAAATACAAAAAAACTAAGGTACAAGTCTTAATTAGCAATGGAGCTACTACTAGTACCTCCATGATACCACTCCCTCTTCACTGGGTTGAGAGGGTTGGGAGTGGTGGGTTGTTCAATTGGTTTCACTAACCCGCTTCATCCTCTCTCTACTTTCTCTCTCTCCTTTTCTATTATACCATGTGTTTTGAGACTTGTATTTTAGTTGTTTTGTATTTTTTTTAATTGAATGAGTTAAAGAAGATAGGATTTTCATCTGTTGTGGGTTGAGAAAGATTAAAAAAAATTGATGTGGAAGCGGGTTGAGTGGGTTGGGAGGGAATGAATCCCTCTTTCCTTAGGTAGTTCAACAACACCATACTGCTTATTATCATCATATCATCCATGACTACTCTAGTGCTAGGTTTTCCTATCCCTACGGCAGATTCCATCCATTTTTTCAATTAATAAGAAAATTGAATGGAATTCAGTGTATCTTAATATCAATTTTGTTGGTTAATAAATGCAATCTCATCCACCCTTATGCAATGTCAGCAATTATTATACCAAGTCATCAACCTACAAGAATCGGTTACCCGTGGGTGATATTTGAACAAATCATAAACTTCAATGGTTTTTTTGTACAAAACCTTTATTTGGATGTTATTTTTAAAACATGCAAAACTTCGATGATGTGTTTTGAATATTTTTGAAACATATTTACACTTATAAATCGTTTTGCCAATGCAGAATTTATTGGGCGACAATGACACAATTTAACTTGGAACCTTTCATGGGTCACAAAACTAGTTAGACATAATTGGTTAAGGACTGCAATTGGTAATTCGGATTTTTGGAGGACCAAATCTGACAGGGACTAAATTTGCAATTAACCCTAAAAAGACAACAATCTATATATAACCAATTCCCTTTGAGCGAGTCGGGAAATTTCAGCTCAGCAGTACTCAAATCCATCAATGGCGGAAGGCAACATTCAGCTTCAACGAGGGAGAAGGACCGGAAGGAGAACTGGGGGAGGAGTAACCCCACGTACCCTTCTTCCACTCCGCCGTGTCTCCTCCCACCTCTCAAACTCCATTTCCTGCTGGTATGCATCATTATCACTATCACCATCATCATCCTCATATGTTTATTCGTGTTTCCGCTTATATTTCTACAATTGGTGTTTTTTCAGGTACTGTGACTTCAAGTCGTCTGTCTTCAACGACCCTCTCTTTCAATTCGGACGAAAATACTTCAGGTCTATATTAATTTATCCCCAGTCAGTGTCGTATTAAGTCGTGGTATTAAAAATTCAATTAGGGTTCGGAAACATGGAGTTTAAGGCATCGGAATAGAAATTATAGCTCATCTATTTTGTTCTAAATCTAAAACGACTTAAAATCTCTTAGTATTTCTTCATGTATACACATTCTGAGATTCATTATCTTGAGCTGAAAATTGAAGCTTGAACTAAGTTGCTTCTTGCTCCTTCATCTGATTGCAGGTGGTTAAGAATATGGTTCTCCATCGGGATGGGTTTCAGTTTGACTACTTTGATTGGAGTTACACTCGTAAGAAACACACAAACACACATTCTTACTAAATGTTCTTTCCATATCAGAATCATAAACCTTTTCTTTCAATCTATTGAACAGATTATCTTGTTGGAATCAGCCAGAGCTTTGAATCTATACAATGGGATCCCATGGCTTAACAATATTCTTAATGGATCCATCTTCGGATCCTACTCTTCACTACACAACATAACAGTTGCTGATATTGGATACATGTGCATATCTTCCATAATATCTGTATCCATACATGAACTTGGACACGCACTTTCTGCCACAAGGTTATTACATCAATCTCATTCTTGTTATGTCTTTTTACATCTTGAACTAATTTATTATAAATTATTTAGAAATTGGATCTCATAACTGATCCTGTAGGCATCCATTTTGTGGGTAGCAGTGAGGGCATACAAATTGAGTACACTGCCGTGTTTTTGGCAGTTCTGTTTCCAGGTGCACTTGTTGCCTTCAATGATGATTTGCTACAAATGATCCCACGTGTAGCTACACTTCGCATATACTGTGCAGGAATCTGGCATAATGCAGCAGTAAGTTAACACATTACACACCATACCAAATTACATTATTACCCTTTTTGATTTTTTTTTTCTGATTCAACTTTTGCAGCTATGTCTTGTTTGTGCATTGACTCTCTTCCTTCTACCATTCATCTTCTATCCACTTTACTCCCATGGTGAAAGCCTCATGGTACTTCACCATTTTCGCTTTAATCATTACTTTTGCAATTTTGATCCTTATTTAATGTTCTTATAACGTTTTTGATCCCTGTTCCAAGTAAAATGACTATCTTTGGTCCTTGATATTCGCAAATTTGGTCCCTAAAGTATAGTCATTTTACTTTAAACATGGATCAAAAACATTAGAAAAACCACAAATAAGAATAAAAAATGGAAGAGAACAATTTGGGACCAAATTTGCAAATTCAGCTATACGCAGGGACCGAAAATGTAACTTACACTAATCTATAGTACATATATTTTTTTCGCTTTTGGAACATTTTATAGGTTTTGGATGTTTCTCGTAAGTCACCTTTGTATGGCCACTTATCTCCCGGTGATATAATCACCATGTTAGACGGGGCCCACGTTCGTACAACAAAAGAATGGATGGATATTTCTTATTTTTTAGAGAAGCAAAAATCTCAAACAAATAAAGGATATTGTGTCCCGAATTTAATGATTGCGGGAAGCAAGAACCCTGAAATCATGGACAACAAATTCACATGTCCAAACGACCTCACATTATTCACCACCATTTCATGTAATTCAAGAACAAATGAAACCGATCATCAACAGACAAAAGAGCATATCTATTGTTTTCCGGCCAAGGGCGTGTTAGGGGAGAAAAAATGTGGTGATGGGTGGGGCAATTTGGTAAAAGACGATGGTAATTGTTTATGTGAAGATGATGAATCGTGCTCGAGTCCAATTCATATGCCAGGTGTCACATGGGTTGAGATCACATTTTCGAGACATGAATGTGGAAATAAAGAAAATGTATGTGGTGGGAGTTTTGTGTTTGTAGGTGATATGATTTCAATGGCACGTTCGATTAGGGTAACGAATTATCAGTCTCGTTGGTTTTATGGTGTTGTGTGTGTTCCTGTTGTAGTGGAGAAGTTGTTGGTGAATATCTTTCATGTGTCATTGATGTTGGCTCTTTTAAATAGTTTGCCGGTATATACTCTTAAATCTTAATGATTATATATTATCAATTAAGAATATTATTAATATTGTGTATAAATTAATAGGATTTTTGTGTATTGTTGTTGTTGTGTAGGTGTATTATCTTGATGGAGAATCGATTTTAGAGGTGGCTCTTTGTTGTTTTAGTTCATTGACACCGAGGATACGTGAATTGGTTGTTCAATCGTGTTTAGTAGGTGGAACGCTTATTTGTTGTCTTTTAATTTCGAGGATTTTGTTCCTTGTTATTTCGTAGTAAAGGGTTTTATGGTTATTAATTGCTTGTAGGAAGTTGTTTAATATGTAAGAGTGACAGTTTTTATGGTAATACACATGAGCACTTTTTTTTTGAATAACCGATCTTATAATGGCAACAACAAAGTGTAATCACTTTATGATATACTACGATCCCCACCCTGTAGAAAAAAAAGGTGATCTTTATAAATTCCCAAGCTCCTTAATATGGACTTTACATTGATCTACCTTCAAAAGATGATGTTTCTACCTTTCAATTGGATATTTTTTTTTTCTTGGACTTTCATACGCATTATTACAGGTAGCAAATTAGGTATTTGTGTTATGTTTTGGCAAATTAGGCACTTGTGTTATGTTTTTTTGCTGACACGATAACTTTTATATATGAACACGATATGATATCGTGTTTTGTTTATTAGTGTTAGTGATTTTAGTATTGCAAGATATTTTGTGTAATTGGAACTAATATGTGAGTTGAAAGACTTATTATTTGTATTTTATATTATATGTTTAGTGAATGCGAAGTTTATGCATGATATAAGATTGAATTATAAATCGGTATTGATAAAATGACATGGGTAAGGGGGTTGCACCCCTTTGCAGGGTCCTAAGGGCAACGCTCCCTAGCGGGATCCAAGGGGCAGGCCCCTATTGGTGATTCTCTTAACTAATTTAGAGGACGAAAACTCAAATCCATCAAAGTATAAATACCACTCCTCTATTGAGTCATGGATTACGTCGTCCTCTCTCAGATCTCTGTGTTCTATAATGAACTCAGAATCGTCTAGTAATTTGATTTGTGTCTTTGTAACTAGATTAACAAGTGTTCTTTTGGATTATCCTATACTGAATTTTCTGTAACTCGGACATAAGGTGGAAGTATTAGTTCGAAATACGAACTCATGCGATCCATTGGAAATTCGGTTCTCCACCACAATCCTTTCCGAGACCCTAACAACAAATTTGATAATGACTCAATGAAAACATGATAAAAATAGCAAACACGAAAAAGATACAATACGATAAACTTTAAGTTTATGCAATTCAAAATTAATCTTACAAAACACGAAAAATAAGAAAATATGACAAACACATGTTACTATCTTGCCAATTTCATGTAGATTTTTGAAGAACACAATATGATATGACAATGTATGTTTTACAATTAATATGAAAACGATACGAATATGATTTCATAATTTCAATTCCTTACCAAATTTTGTTTCGTACCGTGTATTTTGGTCGTGTCATGCTATAAACCGTCGCACCTACAATATTATATGAAGTTTTAGTTTCTTTTAAAATTAAAATATGTTTAAATTTTTTATAATCTTAAAAATAATAAATTTTGCTATATATGATTTTATATGTAAAACAGAAAAGATTTAAAAAAAAAAAATAGATCTTTTAATAAAATGAACGAGACCGTTAAAAAGTAACTCAAGATTGAAGTGTGTGTTCCCTCAATTTTCTTACCAGTCCCTTTATACCAGGAGAGCCAAGAATGTAAAAGCCACATCCCACATCGCCGCCGAAGTGCAAATAAATCGGCGATATAACAGAGTCGGAGAGATTGGTAAGCACGACCTTACTTGAACAGGATCTGTTCTATAGGCTCGTACCTCTGTATTCTTGATTCCTAAGAAGACAGAAACCCATGTCTGGTTGATGAACCACGACCATGTAGCCAGAGCGTGATTAACAGAGCTTCATGGTCTCCGCTATGGCTCAGTAGATGATCGTTGCTAACCCATCTGATGGGGTCCTGGCATGGCTACAAGGTTGTCTGACAGATAGCTTAATCTTTTTGGTCCCTTTTTGCTCATTAGTGTTTGATGAAATGCATGAAGGAGATTGACAGTTTGTATATGCAAAGCAAGTGTTCGATGAAATGCCTGTACCAGATTATGATGATGTTCTTGCTCATCCAGGTTATATGGACAATTTGTGTATGCAAAGCAAGTGTTCGATGAAATGCTGGAACCAGATTATGCTAAGACAAACAATAATGCTACTATGATACTTGGAATCATAGTTTCTGTAACAAGGTAATCAAAGACAAGAATGCTACTATGACTTGTATTCATGTATAAGCGATTGTATATTGCTCATGATTTAAGCAACATTTTCTCTCTCAGTACTTATGTTATGTATGTCCATTTTTCACTTGGCACGATTTGTATTAATAACCTAAAGGAATTGGAATACTTAACCAAGTGTGTAGGAAGACTAATTTTTATGAACTTCATGTATACTTGAAGAACAGACATCACTTTATTTACCACCATTTCATGTAATCAGTCTAGTTGGTTTTATGGTGTTGTGTGTGTTCCTGTTGTAGTGGAGAAACTGTTGGTGAGTATCTTTCAATAATCATTGATGTTGGCTCTTTTAAATAGTTTTCCGGTATGTAGTCTTAAATCTTAATGATTATATATTATCAATTAAAAATATTAATAATAGTGTGTATAACTTAGTAAACACGGTCGAAAAGTGTGATTGTCAAATCCAAAACCATATTTACTCTACACACTCAAATACGTTTCACCTATACCACCAAACCCTAGGGCTGACCTTACGAATCGAAATTGGCTCGTTGCCATGCAAACAGAATACAATGCTTTGTTGAAACAGGGAGCATGGGAGTTTGTGCCAAGACTAACGAATCACAATATAATTCATTGTCATTGGCTATTTCGCCATAAGTTTAAGGTGGATGACACATTGGAACGATACAAGGCGCGCCTCGTTGAAAATGGAAAAACATAAGAAGTTGGGATCAACTATGACGAAACATTCAGTCCAGTCGTCAAGCCCGCCACAATACAAACAGTTCTTAGTCTTGCATTGGGACGAAGTTGGGACATTCATCAATTGGATGTTAAAAATGCGTTTTTACATGGGAACATGCAAGAAACGGTGTACATGCACCAACCACCCGAATTTTTTGATTCACGCTATCCTACTCATGTTTGTAAATTGCACAAGTCTCTTTATGGTTTAAAACAAGCACTACGAGCTTGGTATCAACATTTTGCATCTTATCTCTTAACTATTGGCTTTGTGTGCAGCAAAAGTGACACTTCTTTGTTTATCTACAAACAGGGAAATGGCATCGCCTACCTACTTCTATATGTCGACGATATCGTCTTGACCACCTCCTCCACCGCACTCAAGATACGTCTCATCACCGGATTAAAACGTAAATTTGACATGACTGATATTGGCTTCTTGTCTTATTTTTTGGGCATCTCTATCACTCGCACCAACAATAGCATGTTTTTGTCACATCGCAAGTATATCGAAGAGATGCTTCTTGTCTTATTCTTCGGTATCTTAAGGGTACTCCGACGCATGGTTTGACACTGCATTGTTCTCCTTCTACACAACTTGTTTCCTATACTAATGATGATTGGGGCGGTTGTCTCGACACTAGACGATCAACTTCAGGCTATTGTATTTTTCTTGGTGATAATCTCATTTCATGGTCTGCTAAGCAACATACCACTCTCTCTCGATCCAATGCTGAAGTAGAATATCGCGGTGTTGCAAATGTAGTTGTCGAAGCTTTTTGGCTCCGTAACATCCTGCTTGAGCTACACACGCCGTTACAGTAGGCCACAATCATCTATTGTGATAATATCTCTGCCGTCTATTTGTCCGGTAATCTTGTATTCCTGTCCAACATCAGTGCACCAAACACATAGAAATGGATATACTCTTTGTTCGTGAAAAAGTTGCAATTGGCTAAATACGAGTTCTTAATGTTCCTTCCGCTTACCAATATGCAGACATCTTCACAAAAGGTTTACCCAGACAACTATTCCTGGACTTCAGAGACAATTTGAGCATCTGACTTCCTCCCGCTCAAACTGCAGGGGACTCTTAGTCGACATATATAAGGGATAGATCATATTGCATCTGTATAACTTTCCATAGTTATAGGATCCCAATTGTATATTTATATGGTCAATGTTTATTGAGCAGATCAAGAAATTCAATCACGTTAATCTTTATTTAGTAGTAGAAACGCTTATTTGTTGCCTTTTGATTTCGAGGATTTATTGCGTGTTATTTCATAAAGGGTTTTATGGTTTAAGATCAAATGTTGGATTGCTAATAGAAAGCAATTTAATATGTAAGATTTGGGTGGATAAATATATATTTTTTTCTAGAACTTCTCATACATATTATACGAAATTTTACTTTACTTCAAAATTAAAAAGTATTTAATTTTTTTATCATCTTAAAAGCTATATAATTTGCTCTAAATAATTTTTTCTAATAAAAAGATTGGTGGTAATAAGTAACAAAAATTGATATATTCAAAACTATACATATGATAACTATAGTCGGATTTCTTGTTTACTTAAAGAGATAAGAGCATGGAGTTTGCTATGTTATTTATTAGATGTTAAAAATTACAATTTTAAAAGAGATAAGAGCATGGTATACCAACAAATGTGTAGTTTTTGACATGTGATGGGTGGGATAAAAGAGAAAGATAAATAATTAAATAGATAATAAGCAACAGATGTTGAAATATTATATGATTATACGTAAAAGAGAAAGATAAATAGATAATATATCTTAGTAAAATATTAACTTGAGATAGATTTATTAATAATTTTAATTATAATATTTTTAATTTAGTAATGGAGAAAAGTCCAAAAATATAGACAGTGAAAAAGCAAGTAAGGATTAAAACGTCTGCGAATTTGTTCCACTTAATTTCTTACCAGTCCCTATACACAAGGTAACAAAGGAGAGCCAAGAATGTAAAAGCCACATCCCACATCGCCGCCGAAGTGCAAATAAATCGGCGATATACCAGAGTCGGAGAGATTGGTAAACACGACCTTACTTGAACAGGATCTGTTCTATAGGCTCGTACCTCTGTATTCTTGATTCCTAAGAAGACAGAAACCCATGTCTGGTTGATGAATCACGACCATGTAGCCAGAGCGTGATTAACAGAGCTTCATGGTCTCGGCTTTGGCTTAGTAGATGATCGTTGCTAATCCATCTGATGGGTCTTGGCATGGCTACATGGTTGTCTGACAGATAACTTCATCTCTTTTTTGGTCCTAATGCAAACCAAATGTTTGATGAAATGCCTGAAGGAGATTATGATCAAAGAGAGTCTTTATTATATGCAAAGCAAGTGTTCGATTAAATGACTGAACCAGATTATGATGCTGGAGCTTTCTGGTATGATTTTGGATTCATCAAGTTCCATTAGCATTGTAATGAGCTAAGAAAAACAATAATGGTACTATGATACTTGGAATCATAGTTTCTGTAACAAGGTAATCAAAGACAAGAATGCTACGATGACTTGTATTCATGTATAAGCGATTGTACATTGCTCATGATTTAAGCAACATTTTCTCTGTCAATACTTATGTATGGCCATTTTTCCCCTCGGGTCCAATTCATATGCCACTTGTCACATGAGTTGAAATCATATTTTTAAGAGCTGAATGTGGAAATAAATGTGGTGGGAGCTTTGTGTTTGTGGGATAGAATTTTTGTGTATTGTTATTGTTGTTGTGTTTGTGTATTATCTTGATGGAGAATCCATTTTAGAGGTCAAAGATGGCTCTTTGATGCTTTAGTTCGTTGATACCGAGGATTGAGGAATTGGTGGTTTGATGTGTTTAGTAGTAGAAACGCTTATTTGTTGCCTTTTGATTTTGAGGATTTAGTGTGTGTTATTTCATAAAGATTTAGCCTAAAGTGGATTATGATCAGATATAGCTTTCTGGCATATGATTTTGGCTTTATCAAGTTCCATTAACAAACAAATTAGAATACTTGAGAGTTGAAGCCTTGTCGATGGCAAGTTTTTCCCTTTGTGCATGTGTAGTAGTCACCTAAAGAAAATGGAATACTTAACATGTAATGTGGATTTAAAACAAGTAAAATTACTCTAAGAAATCATGTCTCATAAACAAACAAACATAGGAAAGCAAATAAGCAATGACATAATCTGCTTCTCAATAATATAAATGATTTTTAAGGAAAGGAATGCTTTAAATAAACACACCAGATTTCAATATATACCAACTCTTCTGGATGGAAGCTAGGAAGTTTGAGGGTGTTGTTAACATAAGATTGGTGATTAATTGGTTGCATGGTGACTTATATGCAACCTTTGAATGTAGAATAGATGAACAAATTCTAAGAAACGATGGTATAGAGTTTGGAATAATATTCCGCTTACTTATTCAATACGCCAAATGAGGCTTAATATAGGTTACAAAATTAGACCAAAGATAACAAACTAATCTAGAATGACGGGAATAACAAATGAGTAATAGATAAAGTAATGACAGATAATAAACTATATCCAATACTCCCCCTCAAGATGGAGCGTGCAAGTCAATAACGCCCATCTTGCCAACAAAAAATTGAATTGAATCAGCGACTTGTAACTCTCTATTAATCTTCAATGGCATTATTTCCTTAGAAAGAACACGCTCACGGACAAAGAAACAGTCCATCTCCACGTGTTTCGTCCTTTCATGAAACACAAGATTGTTGGCAATGTGTCGGGCGGCCTGATTGTCACAAAACAAATCTGTAGGAGATGTGATGTTAACTTGTAAATCCTTTAAAAGCCAACGAATCCAAATAATTTCACTAACTGTAGATGCCATAGCTTGATATTCCGCCTCTGCAGATGACCGTGAAATCATTGACTGCTTCTTCGTCTTCCACGAAATAGGAGCCTCGCCAAGCATAATGAGATACCCGGTACGTGGGCGCCTTGTGTAGGGGCAACCAAGCCAATCAAAGTCACAAAAGGTCATCAACTGTCGGTGTTCATCTTTAGGTAAGAGC